GCAGCAGCAGGCTGCATCGCTCTGCCGCCCCTCTGGCAGCGGCCACAGCCACCAGGTGCTTCAGGGTGGAAGTGAGAGATCTCCTGGAGATGTCTTCACACAAAACGCTCTCTTCCTTCAGGTCTATGGGTGCTGCTGAAGAGCTCCCCTGGGCCTAAGGTTCTCTGGTGCTTCAGCAAAAGAAGGGAGAAGAGAATTGACTTGGTGAAGGAAAGTCACCATTTTCTTTTATTTTTTTTTCTTCTCCCTTTCAGAGACCCCTGAGCGTGACTGTGATCCGCGGCGGCAAGAAAGTGCACGTGGGGCTGACTCCAAAGCGCTGGGCCGGGAAGGGGCTCCTGGGGTAAGCGGCTGTGTCACGTCCCAGAATGGACGAGGCTTTCACCCAGCTCGGAGCGTGTTTCCTGCAGCCGGGCCGGCTCCGCGCTTTGCTCTGGTGTGTGCAGCTGCCTGCTCTGGCAGGGTTCACTGGCGGGTGCCCCCAGGAGCTGGGGGCTGGTGGTTTAGCAGAGCTATATGGGGAGGCGAGTGGTATCCAACGGGAGCACAGGGTCTCATGGCGAGTTTGTCCCGTAGATGAAACCAATGGAGGAGGGTTGTGGTGGGTCTGATTCATGCCGTGTCTGATCATCTGTGCTTGTTTGAGATCTGAGGCTTTAATGTTTCCTTCTCCTGTTTCTTTTTCAGATGCAATATCATTCCCTTGCAAAGATGACCAATGCTTGGAAAACAATAAAGCTGAAGCTTGTGCCTGCTTTCTGGACTCTGATTTGACTGATTTGGAAATTTTTGTTTTTTGCCGAAACAAGCGTTTCAGAGGCTGTGACCAGTATGTGCTGGACTCTGGGTCTGAGTAGGTTCTGACAGAGTACAGCCTGGCTGAGTTCAGAACGGCCCTGGGTCAGCAGCGGAGCTGCAAGGTGTGGCTTCTGATCTCTTCCACCTGGTGTCAGTTTGGAAAGAGGCTGTAGAGAGACCCAGACTTCACTTGAGGTAGACTCTAAAGAGCATTAGATTAGATTAGATTAGATTAGAAATACACAAGTTTGATACTTTATCTCCCCTGGGTTGCCACACCTTCTGAAGTTAGTAAACATGATGAAAATATTTTTGGAACACTCAATTATTTTAAGTTAATGAGATAAGGAATAGGGGTTACAATTCTGCTTTGCTTTACTTTTAGTATTTTGTATGGCCGTGATAAAATTACTCCTAACTCGATGACTTTTTTATTTTGTTTTGGTTCTGTTTAGTTGCAGTATTTGGTTTTGGGGTGTATGAACTCTTCAAGGGGATTTCTGGGACAACTGGTCTGTTGTGAGCTGCTTTCGAGCTGAACTTCACAATTCTCTTCCAAAACAATAAAACCGGGTAATGCATCTCTCTCCATTCTTGTAGAAGTTGTTCTTTTGGACAGTAATTGTGGGCCAGGTTGGGTGGGTTGGATGCAGATCTGCACAGACACTAAATGAGGAGCCCCAGACCTTCCAGAGCTGAAGCCCAGGTAAGGTGCAAGTCCTTCATCAGCGGGTGTGGCATGAGTAACACATAATGCTCCATCTCTTTTCTGGAAGAATCGCTGAGAACAGGAGGTGTTTTGGGACCCTCTGTCGCATGCGCATCCTGCCTTGCTTTATCAGAGCCGTTCTGAGGCTGAGCCAGTGCTGCTGGCCTTCCCCAGGCGCTGTGACCCACCAAGGTTGCTGCATCCCTTAAATCCGCTGTGAGATCCTGCTGGGGAGCAGTGTGACATCCCTGGCTGTGGTCACCAGGTTAGTACCCCCGCGGGGTTGTGCTGTAGGAGGGTCTGTGCATGGGACCACGGCGTCAAAAGTCTCGCAATAATTTTTAGATGCAAGTTGTGAGCCTTGTCTTTTTGCAAAAGGGGTTTTTGTATTTATGGTGCTGCTGCCCCTCTCTTCTGTCCCTATAAAATGGAATCTGGGGGTACCTATGGGGATGAATTTGGTATTGGCTGGCAGCTGAAATGTCAGACCAAGGGGCTGCCCTTGGCCACGGGTACTTGGGATGTGTGTCTCGCTATCCCAGGTGTGGCAGATGAATCTGGGTCTGGATACTGGAGAAGAAAAGCCCACGGGACACATCCTTCCAGCCTCTGCATTTGTGCCTCCTGGGATGAAATGATCTAGAGCATCCCGGCTTTCTGTACGGCTCTTGAAACGAGGTTAAGGGGTCAGTCCAACCCCGCCAGCCAGGTCAGCCCTGCTCTCGGGGAGCTCGGTTCCCTTTCAGCGTGGAGGTGTCTGCACGCTGCGGAGGGCTCTCGGCTCCGTGAGGCTTTTGTAGAAGCGTGTCCCCTAACCCTGTGTCCCCTATCCCTGTGTCCCCTAACCCTGTGTCCCCAGCCCCTGCGGTTGCGTGTCCTGAAGGAAGGGGTTGAACAATCCCAATGAGCTTAATAAAAAACCAGATGATGCTGCAAAACCCGCTGCGGGTGGGTAAGGCTTTAATGTCGTCCTTAGACCAGGCTCAAACCTCTGCCGTGGGGCCAGAGCAGAAGAGGAGCTGCTCCCCGTCGGAACAAACAGGATTTTCATGCTGGAGAGCAGAGATGATTCCCTGCATCCTGCACGACCGGGGAATGGGGACGGGGT